ACCCTACAGACACACACACACACACACACACAAACAGAAAGAATTTTATAAGCTCACGAATACTTGCTTAAGATGTTAACATATTAAAATGAAATGTGTCCATTTTTGATTGTAAGGGGAACCTTAACTGTGGTAAGCTACAAGCAAGCTTTCTATGACTGCTAATAAGGACTCAAAGCATCTGAGCTACAACACCAGACAGGAAGTAAAGTATATCAACAGACCCGTGTGTTTACACAGTAATGTACTTGCCTTCCAGTTGCCTAGCAAACTGAGTCAAACGGGCTGAGCGTATAACAAGAGGCAAAAAAAGAGGTTAAACTCCACATCACAAAGTAAAACGTGTGGGCAATCCACCTGGCGAGGAAACACCAACCTGTGCTCAGGTCTGATATCTGCGCGATCTTTTTCTTTTCGTCCACCAGCTCGTAGAACGGGCCGAGGACCTTTAACAGCTCCTCCACCTCGTCAGTCATGGGCATCCCCTCTAGGATCTGAAAACCAAATCCAGAGCGAGCACAATGAGAATATTATCCCACAGTCACAAACAACCAGGAAGTGCTTTAAATTCAAAGTACCGGAATTGCGGCATAAATTATTTGGTGTAACAGGGTTATTCCTGATTCAGATGACTGTAAAGGCAATGTATCTGTGTTACTCTTCACATGGCTTGCGTCATTTGATTACACACAAGGACATGAAACACGGACAGGTTAAAAAGGTGCTTCAAGAGGTGGGAGATGGACGGCAAACGTACCAGTTTCATTTCATCAACATAAGATGCCATTGCTTCTTCTTTGGACATTTCTCCCAGAGAATTCCAGGCATCCCTATCACAATAAATACATAAATAAAATAAATAAAAGCAAGCGAAAGAAGAAAACATGCACTGTTATATAATTTTATAAGGTGGAACACACAGAAGAGAATGTCATGTGTCAGCAAAAGTGTGTTTGAAGGCCTTTGTGCCAGCTCCAGTTTTCAGCTGAGTCAATATGGAAAGACTATTTGAGGACACAAACTAATTTACTAACTTTGGATCACAGTCTGACAGACACTTAAACATTCATTAAAAACTGTACCTACCCATGAAACGTGTTCATTTAGCCTTTATTTAACCACGAAAATATCATGTTTAAGATTAAAAATAACTTTTTCAAGGGTGTCCTGGGCAGAACAGGCAGCGGTGCAATCAGCAGCTGCGTAGAAACCAGGCCAAAAACAGGCCAGGAGAGTTCAAGCAACTGCCGCAAAGTCCTTTAAAATTCATTTATGAGACCAGATGCTTAACAGGTACAAACAAATTGACCTTTTTGGTATTAATCAAGTTATCTGAATCTAAACATTTAAATGACTACAGAAGGAATAAGTCTTGAGACCAAAAACAGTAACATCCCGCACTTCTTTTGACCAACCTAGTAGATCAAAAACTGCCTTGCAAATAAGAATATAGCTATATCTGAGTCTACAGAAGGACAAAGCAGATCATGGTGAGCAAGAGCTTCAAGGTTTGTGATCAAACTCAATGCTTAATGACAGAAAGTATCCAGCGTGTGTAAGGACTGAGAAAACACACAGGTACAAGCCCCTCCTTGAGAGAAACTGTCCAGCTTTGTGGGTAAGAGGTAACTGATATATTTTAATGAGTCCAGAGATCACCTGACACAGCCTGAGCTTAACAGAGTGAGATTTTCATTTCTGAATATCACAAGCTGTCTTGATGTGATCGTCAGAGAATAATAAAATATGATAAAACATTACAGCAACAGGGTTTGTGTCTGGGGGACTAGTCTTAAAAGTACACTGATCCACATAGATTTAAAACAAGGAGCGTGGGGAAGTGCATGCATCTTCCTGTTACACCATTAGTGCAGGAGAAATAGAGTAGAATAGACTTTATTACACACATCGAGGGAAAATTGTCTTTGGTTCACCAAGCCATAAACAAATCAAACAAATCATAGCAACACAGCATCTCATTATTTAGTATACTGATTGCTCTTGGCACAAATTATTCCTTTTATACCCTGAAATCAAATTTTTTTCCCCATAGAATTGAGTTCTGAAGGAATCCTAAGCGCACAACCACCACCGCCCCCTAACTTACCATTTCGCCTTTCCAACTACATCCCAGAAGCCAGGTCGGGGTATGCTGCATGGTCCCACAGTGGCCTGTTTATAGTAGCTGTAGAACTTGAGCATCATGTCATTGGAGGGCTGAAAGGGACCTGAGGAAAAGAAAACTCTCATCACATAAAAAAGCCTTACCTACCACGTGCAGAGTTGTGGCTGATTTCTATTTCTTTCAAATCTGTGATGGCTTGGGGACAAAGTGGATTATTTAAAGCGCACAAGCTGCTGCACCGCACCTGCCCGGGGGTAGCTGAGCTGGTTGAACTGGCCTGTGTGTGTATATATGTGTGTCTGTGTGTGAGAGAGAAAGAGAGCTTCGAGTGAGGTGTTCACTCACCATTCGGGGGTAAACTCTTGATCACCTTCACGGCGGCATCAAACCTCATCTGGGTCAGGCGCCCTTCATCTTCCACGCGGACGCTCTCCACCTCCATCGTGTCACTCGCAGACAGCACAACAACAACACCTGCAAGCAGTAAACAAACTCACGACAACTGCAAAAACAAAAACAAAACGTTAAAAGCGTTTGTTTATAGCATTTATGCTAGCTCGGAGCAGCAGTTTGGTTTGTTTTCGTCTGCAAACGAGCAGACTTTTGCGACGCTAATGCGACCAGCTATACTTGAAAGTTAACTGTCTACAATATGTTACGACCACCAGTAGGAGGAGGCTGAGCCAGTTGGATATCTAGGACACAACGTTTAACGTGTGGCACAGCTTTAGCGACACTGTCGTTCCCGCTAAACGGTATCTACGCTGACACACTTTCGAGAAAGAAACCGCTTAAAACCGTCGTTACTTACCGTTAAAATCACGGGCCTATCTGTTTGTCAGAAGGCGACTTGTCATTAGCCCTTGACCAGACGCCATGAACAGCACACACTGTGGGAATTGTAGTCTTATTGTTGTATATCGACGGCGCCTACAAACTCCACAATCCTCTGCGTCCACATGAAGAAAACAAACAAAACAAACTGTGAAAATATGGTTTGGATATAAAAACAACATATTAAAGTCAAACGAGTGAGAAAGCTGATGAGAAGTGAAATATATAATGTTATTTCGCTCTTATGGCTGAAAACACAAACTCATGTCGCGACAGTTCGACACGCAAAACTACATATCCCAACATGCTCTAGACAGATCCATGTTTTTTTCTTTCCCCCTCCCTCTTCGTTGGAAAACTGATAGGTCGATAGCAGAAAAAAGCTAGAGCTCTCACTTTGTCCTTAAATCCTTTATCTTATCTGTCTGAAACACACCTTCTTCCCTAAAGCTGCGACACTGAACGCGATCCTACAATAACTGCATGCAATATTCTTCTACCTAATTCCTCGTCCACACCTCGCGACATACATTCTGATGTAAAGTGGACTTACATTACACATACACATTACATATACATACCCTGCTAATATATATTCCCACATCTGTATAGGTATGTATCTTTCTGTATCCGTGGTTCAGTATGAACTCAGGGCTAGAGGTATGCTTAAAACATATATAAAATAAATATTTTCTTCAAATCAAATCAAAATTCTTTATATTTTGCTTTCAAGTAGCCAGATGTTCTTGTATTATTATTTTTAAGTGCTCTTGAGCAAAAGTTCCCCAGGCTTTCTGAATTCTTTCTAAGTTTTTCTTTGGGTATGGGCTGCTGAGGATTTTTTTTCCTGTTCATTAAACCCCTTATAAAACTGACCTGTGCATCATTTAAGCATAAGAAAAGAAGCCCAACTCAAGAGAGGACCCACTGTTGTATCTATGCATAAATGTTTGTGCACTTTATGTTCAATATATGTATTTTTGTTGTGCCTGAAATTTTTGTTGTGCCTGAAATGAACAAATACCGGTAAATGAATGAATGAAATGAAAATGAATGAATAACAGACAAACCGGTAAAGAACCAATTTTAAAATTTAAATAGTGTCTTTAGGCACTTGTTTTAGTTTTAGTCTCACCTAAAAAATCCCAAAGATAACACAGTTTGACAGGCATAAATAGAATTTTTGAACCAAAAACCTGAAAACTCAGCACAATGTGCAGTGCACCCTTAAAAATTGAGGAAACTGGACAAGTGGAGGACAAAAGAAGAGGTGCTAGGCCTAAAAAGCGATCAACAGCAGATAAACAGTGTCTGGAAGTCTTGTCCTTAAAAAAAAAGAAAGAAGATAAAACCCCGAAAGAGACTGGACTCATCAAAAAGACATTCAAAAGAAGACAATCAAGCGTATTATAATTGTACAAACTGGTTCTGTCTTTCATGCTATATTTCGCATGTATGTTTGCTCATGTTTCAATAACATGTTTGACATTTTCCAGGAAAAATATCTAGAAATGAAGGCTGGGTCAAAACTTTGCTCAGTACTGTCACAACAATGAATTTAAAATGTCTAAAAATGTTCTATTAATTTTAAAAATGTAGCATTTTCTCTGTTTTTATAAAAATGTTGCCATTTAGAATATTGTAGAATATACTGCAGTAAGATAACGTTTTATTCTGCACCATTTCCTTCAAAAAATAAAATAATAACTCACCTAAAATTACTTTCTTTATTCCAAAATTACCATTTTCATCCAAAGTGAATTAAAATTTCTAAGTAAAACTGGTCAAATACATATATTCACTGTAAATTATCAATTTGGCTTTTTTTTTCTACAAATGTTTTCCTAATCAAATACTCTCAAATACACTTGTTTCTCCTGTTCCTTGTGCTGAATTAAAATGAAATAAAATCGAGAGTAAAATGTTCGTACACAATATTGCGGATGTAGTGATCCTCCTCATTAGTACACACGATCTTCGCTTTGACGTTACGCCAAAGCGAGGGCAGGCAGGAATCCCACAATAGCAGGCAAAGGGTTTTTTTTTTTTTTTTTTTGAGGCAGAGCTGGGCTGGTGGCTGTTTCAATCAAAGGAAAGGCAGAGAGGGAAGGGAGGCTCTGCGGAGAGATGTTAAGATGGCAGAGCTACAAATGTTGTTAGAGGAAGAGATTCCGGCCGGTAAAAGAGCGCTCGTGGAGAGTTACCAAAACCTGACGAGAGTAGCAGACTACTGCGAGAACAATTATGTCCAGGTAAGTGAGTGAGCCACAGGGTTGTTGTATCTGTGGTCCGCCTTTTGTCGCGGAAAGCTCCGGGCTGAATGGTTGTTGGGACAGGAAACGTGGATAAAGAAGTGGACTGGCTCGTCAAATGATCCCTAAAAGCTCGGAGCTGTGATAACACTTTACCCACGGGGCTTTTACGGCCGTGGGACGTTTTAAAGAGCCCCCGTCTGCCCCGCACCATTGATCACATTCATTCCGTTTACACAGAGGGTGTGTCTACTTTTTCTTTTTTAACAAAAAAATTAGTAGTACACTGGCTCGCTTCTAAACTGCCTCCACTGTCACTGCTGATAAGGAAGGCCCGTGTGTTTTTTTTGTTTTTTTTAAAGGCAGGCCATTGATTATGTTACACCCTATCCTAAAAAATAGTTTTATTTCGAGGACAAAGTTACACCAGTTTCGTTGCTTTAGTAGTGAGTTGGGTTTACGTGCGTTAAAGTGAAAACCACAGTATAACTACAAGTCCACATGAACGTAGCAGCCCTTTACATTCCTTAAGGTCAATAAACTCACCATTTAATACCACAAAAACAGTTTAAGCCCCCCACTGGGATACTTCAGGGACGTTAAAGTGATGCTATACTGTCTACATTATGGACTTGCGAGCACTTAGTGCAAATGCTCTGATGTTTATTGTTGCTGCATTACTTCTAAACTGTTAAATGTACTGTAAAATCATAGAATGTGCAGAAAGCAGCTTGTTCAGGATAATATAGTTGGCTTGGAGCTGGGTTGTGAAGCAGAGAAGACTATAAAGTCCTGGTTAGTTGGTCAATAAAGGTTGGCAGTATTGATTTTTTTGAAATCCCTCATTCAGATTAGTCATGCTTTAATTTCTGCTAGGTTTCTTTTTCATAACAAGGCAGCTAATTTACTGTAACCTAATACAGGGAGTATTACTGTGTCTGCGTGCTGTTTTTCTAGAATAAATGTGGGCCAGGATGTGATGTGACGTGATTACCATGCTGCAACTTCATTACAAAGTCTAATAACCACCAATGGCTTTGCTTTTTTTAGGGCACTAGCAAATGTGGTGAGCTGCTGCTAAAAAAGACAGAGCACCAATGTGACAGGCAAACATTTGCAGTGAAAAGAGAGCCCACATTTTTTTTTTTCTCAGCAGGAAGACAACCCACCCATATCAGCTAAAGAGGGTGTGTCCTCTCCAGCTGTACTCCCCAAGGACTCCCTGTAATTTTGTTTTCTTCCTTGTCCTCGCAAGATTAGGCAACTTTGCCCTGCGGCAGGGTGCCTGAGCAAATGCTGCAGGGCAAAGCTTTGACCACTTTGTCTCATTTTTGAGGCCGTCAAGCAGCTTTTCTTGCCACTTTTGCCATAAAGTTGAGAGTTTTCGTTTTCTTTCTGTTTCCTGTGAAAAGCAGTGCTGTGGAACTAAACGTGGGAATTTCCTTGTTATGGGATTTTCTGTGCTACAGCCAGTTGTAGAACGAGAGGTCTCAATGTGATTTCCCACAGTGAAGCAATACTGACAAACTTTAAAATTAAAGTAGTCACTTAAATCATAGTTTGTCTGCTGTAAGTTCATTTTTATCAGCATGCCTCGTTTTAAACGCTCGCACTCAGATCTTGTGGTCGAGATGGGTTTGCTTTTTTGTGTTGAGCTCTGAAGTTATTTAAGCTGGTGCGACACAGATAAATTTATATCTGTATGTAGAAAAAGAAACTCGACGATCAGCTGATTCTCATATAAGCAAGTGTTTGGCAACTGTGGGGAGGAAGAACTCCCTTTTAACAGGAAGCCTTAGGCTCATGAAGAGGGCACAACTGGTAGAGGGGTTAGGAGAAACTATTTAAAACTTTTTAATCGTAACAATATTGTTTACTAATTTTCAGTTTTTGCCCCTTCCTTCCTTCCTTCCTTCCTTCCTTCCTTCCTTCCTTCCTTCCTTCCTTCCTTTATTTATTCTTTTCCGTCGTTTTTGCTGCCTTAAATGAATTGCTCAGTTTGTTTGTGCTTTGTCCAAAGTGACTTGCAGTTAGTGCATTTGGCGACTAGAACCAGGCCGGTTTCATCAGATTTCATCACATTAAAACTAGTAAAATAGGCTTTTCTTCTTCTACTTTCTCAAAAATTACTTGTAGATTGAGCTTGATAACGCATGCTTTTTTTTTTTTTTTGCCGTGTAGATCTTTAGAAGATGCTCCCGAAATGGTGTCATAGGACTCAACCCCCTCCAAACTAATGAGCTGAAAACTCGCAAGAACATCTCAGCAGCTGCCTTCTGATGTCTTTATGTGTGCGTGGCTGTACATAAAAGGTGCAGCAGGAGTGGATGATGCTGACGGGCCGCAGCTCAGTATTTGATGTAAATTTAGTTCAGACTTTAACTAAACTGTACAAAAAGTTCTGCGGCGTGCGTCTGATCCTGCCTCTGTATTTTAGTCGAGCACCTTGTTTGAAGCGCTGACGTCAAAAAAAAAAAGAGGGATTTTTAAGCTTTTCAGCACACGTCGCCAGCTCTCTGTGAAGCGAGTGCACTTTTCATAAGCCCTTTCTGTCTGCTGCAGACACTCTCTCCCGCTCTCTGTGTCTGATAGAAACGCACACACTCGAAAACACGCGCATATCAACATGCCTCAGCTTGACTCGGCCCGTCCTTTCTGCACTCCTCCTTCACATTTCCATCCCTGCTTCTTTCTCTCTGTGCTTGTGTCATCGGGACTTTGGGGTTATGCGGACTATAGTGCAGCTCAGCGGGCTGAAGCAGATGGTGAGAGCTCTGTTTAACCAAGGACAGATCTCTGCCCCACTTTTCCAACTTGATAGTGACTTTTGTTGGTCTGAGAGCGCGTTTCGAGCTGTGCGTGCGTGGCATATGACACACTGACGGGTCAGAGTTATGCTTCCTGTTTGCCCTGCTGACTCTGAAGACCGACTCCCTGGAAATGCCTTTTCTGTGTGTCAGGAAGTGCCTCTAAAAACAAGACAAGATTCGCATTAACATACCTCAGTTCAGTTTATTCTGATTGATCTTTTGATTAGAAAGATTGGAATATTTAGCTGTTTTCAAAACCCTTTTTCATTCATGCAAATCAGAGCCATGTTTGTGTAACCTCTGCGACAAGGACGCGTCTACCGTATGCAAAGTGGGCCACCTGGCCATGTTGGCTAGAGGACGCACTGAGAGGGTTGTCAGCACAGTAATGACACAATTCAGGCTTTAATAGTCATGCTTAGGCTGTATTTGTTATCTATAGAGCTCAGGAAACAACATCATAAAAATGAATTAGTCAGCTGAGTTATTTTTCAAGCAACAAAAGCCAAACATGCTCTGATTTCATCTTTTCAGATAAATGTATTTAGGAATTTCTAATAAAGGTTATTAAAAAGAAGCTAAAAACTAAAAGTATGTGTAAAGAAAATAAAAACAGCTGGACTGATGAAAAAGACTAAAACTAGCTGAAACAATTTTTTACTTGAACAAGAATTATTATTATTTTTACTTTTCGACGGTGTGTTTAAATTTGCCAAACCAACAAGGATCAGGAAGCTAAGATTCCTCTACAGCATGAGGAGATATATTTGTATTGTAATGTCTATTTTCCACTGACAAACACCACCCACATCATGGTGATTTAAAACCAAAACTAAACGGAAATGACCAAAACCCACTTTGGAAACTAACCGAATGGAAACTAAACTGAAATTAGAGCTAATAACTATAATTGATCGGTTTCTTATGTGTATATCATGGTTAACAGGATCTTGGGGAGCACTACTGCATATACATTTAATGCTATTTGTGGCCCTAAAGGCAGCTGCCTACTGTCTGGATAATTCTGCTGAAAGCTAAAAATGTAAAACTAAAGCTTATCTAAACGTAATAAATATTTAATCTTTAAACTAATAGTGACAAAGTGGTTAAAACCAATAAAGGTTTTCAAGCAAACACTTGAGTACCACCCAGATTGTGGTAAAAACGTTAACAGCAGCTTATCCTTGTTCCTTTTTTCTTGGTCTTTGGGCAGGTATCCATCAAATGTCTTAAGAGTTCGTCCAACGAAAGTTCAGAGTTTTTTGTTGTTGTTTTTTTTCAGCATAAAATATTGTGCCCGTCAGTTTTTTTTACTTAAGGATAAAATCCACTTTTGTTTGTCAAATGTTCAAAAACTGCAGTAAAACCAACAGATTTCTGTTAAGTAAGGTAACACAGACTCTGTGTTAACTGTATGTGAACAAGTGATGCTTATGTGCATAGTCACTGTTTAAAGGCCTTCTTTAAGCCAGATCTCAGCTGTCATAGGGCAAAAGGAGTGGTACACCAGGACAGATAGTCAGTCCTGCCGATCATATTTAACTCTCTCATCATTTAATCTCTACATTTATAGTCAATAAATCTTTAAAATTTTCAGCGGTCATTGTGCACGATCATTGTCCAGTCATTTCCAAACAAGGAAAGGCGTTTGTGGCACTTAATGTATTTTGAATGGATGCTTTTCTGACACTCCTGAAGCCACCATACAGGGCCATTGTGTATTGTATGTATGGTCGGCAAGGTCAGTCTCTCAATTGCCCCTCGGGGATAAATAAAGTCTTCTGAATCTGAATGTTTCCACTATCTGAATACCAGCAATGCACACGCCTTTACTACACTGATAATTGGGAATTCCTTAGAAAGGTCTTGCCTGCAACTTGGTCCAAATTCCTGATGAAATCACAGCGATGTGTGGCAGCGCTGTATAGTGAGATGTTTACAACGGAAAAAAGGGGAAATGGAAGTGTTATGTAGAAAACCAGGAGGTCATAAGTCAGAGTAAATTCTGTCTTGCAAGAAAGTGTTTTTTTTTTTTTGTCTGTTTGTGCTGAGGCAGCACGATGCCCACTTTTTCTTTAAAAAAGGAAAAAAGGAAGTGCGGGCTGCTCCTGAATGAGTTGTTTTAAAATATGAGCTTGTGATCGATGCTGGCAGCATCACATGTAAGAGGCGAGGCCTGGCCATCGATCA